ACACACACAGAGATATTTGTAATGTTTTCTAACAGCATCCTGAAGGCGGATTATTAATGTAATCTAAACATCAGTTAGTTTATATTCTGGATTTATGCCTGTATACCTAAAAGCAGAACTTGGCCACTGTGCATTCCATGTCTAAAGAGAACAATAAGAAAACCAGGGGACCAAATTGTTTCTCTTTTTTCTACAAAGTTGGAAGGTGGGGGAGGGAGTTGAAATTGCTCTCACAGACAGAATACCCTAGCAAAGAAGCAGGAAAAATGGAGTCCATTTGGTCTGGCTTGTTTCATTGTACGTATCCAAATTCCTTCTTGAAAGGCTAAGACTTTTACTCTGCTATCAACAACACATACCTACAGTTTAAGGATTAGGCACTGTCCAGAGAAATGTCTCTTTTGCCTTTGCTCTAAATCAGGTCATGATTTCACCCTGTTTGCATTATGTACATCAGTAAAAATAGATCTTTAGAACTTAACCTTGCCCCCGCTCCAGGGAGATTTTTGTCTACACTAGGACAGCAAAACATAACTACACACTGACTCCTTTTGCATCACTTCTGACTGTGCTCAAGTCTGGATCCTGCTCTCACAAAACTTCCATTAGTTTCACCAGGGGCATGAATGTGGCACATATGTAGAACACAATCCATCGGACTTGCCGCTACAACAAAGTTCAGTCAGGGGTTTGCTGAAAAGCCTGGGCAAGAAATTTCACAACTGAGTGAAAGACATTTCAGCTCGGACATACCTTTCAAATCCTGCTGCATGTTTCCTCCTTTCTGGGAAAGTCGCTGGGAAGGGAGTCACTCTCTTCTCCATTGCCCTTGGAACTTTAGTTAGTATTGCTTTGGTTTATTTCAAAAGAAGCTATTAAAAAGCAAATAAAGTGTCTCGTGAGACACTACAGAGAGAAAAAACAGGGCAACACAGGAAAAATGCTGTGAATTGAAATTCAAAAATGGAAAGAAAAGTATAGGTGAGGTATTTCTCCATGTCATTTTTTCCAGGATTCTACTTCTCCATTTGCTTTTTCTGTGATGTCTGTGACTTGCCATCCATATTCCATCCCTATGCTTGGAAATTGCTGTCCATCAAGTGAAAGGTGAAGAAAAAGACAAAAAAAGGTATAATGGTGTGGGGAAGACATGAAGGGATGCAGGGAGGAGATTTATTGAGTTTAAAGATGTCCAAAGGAGATGGAAATGTGTTCCCCAAGGCCATGGTCTTCGATGGTGCTGCTTGTATTTTCAGGCTGTAGCGTAGCAGATGTATGAGAAGAGCCAGACTTCACATGCTACAGTAAGTGCAAAATCTCAAAATGCAGATGCCATCACATCAAGGGTTCCTTTGTCCCCTGACAAAGTCTGCCCACAGTGGTTCTCTAGAAACAGTTCTATTATCAAGTAGACATCCATTGCTTTTTTGTTGGTTTTTTTCTATTTTTTTATTTAAAAAGTAGCTTTTCTAATAATACATAGAATATATAAATAATAATAATAATTAAAAAAAACTATTTGGGTTTACTTTCTGTTCTCCAACCCATCTGTATTTTTTGTGGTTTGCTGATATATATATTAAAAGACAAGAAAATCAACTCTGCTCACTATTAAAAAAAATATTAAATCCACTTTTTATGTTTCAAAAGAGAAAGAGAAGGGGAGATGTGATAAAACCAAATTAAAATGAAAAAAAGGAAAAAGAAAAAAAAACAAAACAGGAAAATCAAAAACCTTCTGTCTCTTCAAAGTAGTTGTCAAGAGAGATTTAAATACTTGTGCTTTCAGTGTACATCCCACAGGAAAAACATAACAAAAAAAAAAAAAAAAAAGGGAGGAGGAAAAAAACCAACCAACCAAAAACCCAAGAGGACCTAAAATTAAAAAAAAAAAAAAATAAAGAAAAATGTAATAATAATCTTAGTAGTGAAAAGGACAGCTCAGAGTTTCTGTGTCTTTTTAGTTATTTTAGCAGCCGCCCTTTTTGTCTGCAGAGGGAGACCTGCCACCACAGCCACCTCCTCGGCTCAAGAGAGGCTCTTCTGCATCGTCCTCGTCAAAGCCATGAAAGGTCGAGGTGTCGCTTTCTGACGTGGAACCGAACAAGTCCTCCGTAGTGCGTGCTGGCGCTGCTTCGTCCCTCCTGCCTTCTCTTCCCAAATGAGCTGACATGTATGATGAATATATCAGCACATGGGTTAAGCAACAGGCATCATCATCATAATTTTTTTTCATCATTTTCATTATCATTAAGCAAGTCAGACTACCAAGCTCATAGGTGTGTGCTTTTATGTGCCTGTGCACCCCAACAACATAGCATAGGTAGAACTGCAGTAAGAAAAATAACAAAGGATCAGTTTCTCTTTCCAAGAAAAAGATCTACAAACGCCACAGGTGCCCATAGCTACAGCAGCGAAAGGGTTAATCATGTTTTCCTCTCTTCAAAATACAGTAAAATATTTCCTCATGATTTCTTAGATCAATTTAAAAATATTTTTATACCATGTAAATAATGAGACACTGTTAGCTCTAAGCACAACGGCATCAACAGTCACAAATGTTCTGCTATAGTAATGTAAGCCACCAAATAACTCATCAACCTCAGGACTACTTTTTATCCCGTTCTTCACCTGATCCTAAAGAACCTCCTCTGCAGAAAAAATTAAATACATTTTGAAGACTAAGTGAAAGTAACCTAAACCAATACTTTAATACAAATTTCATGGCACGTCCTTCAAAAATTAAAAAAAAAAAAAACCAAAATTAATATATACAGTTCAACAACTAAAACAACTGAGAAGTAACCCATCTTGGGAAACACTGGAAAGTTCAAATTTGTGTGAGTCAATCCAACTTTCAAGATGGAACAGAAAATTCTCCACACAATACCAATAACGGCAACAACAGTCATAAGAAGACTACTAAAAAACTCAAATACTGAAATCTGTGAAATTGAGGTTTGCTTTCTCTCTCAGACAAACTTTTTATGTGATTAACAGTATGACCTTCAAATTCCCTCTTTAGGGATGGTAGAGAAAAAGATACCTCTTGTGTCCCAGCAAAATTGAAGTGTGAGATTTTAGGGAACAGCTATTTTGTTTTTCACAAACAGTAGCATGGTATTAAGCAACCAACTGTTGGGTCCCTGCTCCAGCTACAGGAATCAGCCATAAAACAAGTACACTGCATTGCTTGAGACAGAAAGAAGTAAATCCTGTTCACAAAAAAGAAAATGGATATAACAAAATAATTGGCAGATAAACCATACGGTAGGAATGTGACTTTACTGACTTTGTGAACAGAAGAAGCAATATAATTTCCATGACCTCTCTTTTGGTGTAATGAAAATATTCTCCATTATTAAAAAAGAGAAAGATGGCAGACAACAAAGAGGTTTCATTGTTTTAGTTTAGAGATTAGTGTGTGGTTATACCTTAATCACTTTCATCACACATCAGTCACAGCATTGCAAACCCTATGAATGACCCAAGTGGGTCAGAATTTGTACAAGGATAGGATTTAATGGAACTGATTTGACACAGTTCCACTGATCAGCCTGTAGTTTAGGCTACAGGCTGATCTGTTTATTCTGTCACACTAAGGAATCAAGGGAATTAATGTATTTGTGTTGTATTCTGATATAACCACCATGGCAATGTTTAAGTAGCAATAAAATATGGCTCCATCTCACTGTGCCATATCAGGACAATGCCGAAATCAGTTATAATGAAATATAACAATCAAGGTGAAGGGCAATAATCTTCCAAGATGGCACCCCAGACCCCATGGACTTTCCCCTTCAGTTATTAGAAGCAATCACATGTACACTAAAAGGTCCATGTCTCTGACTGCACAGCATTCGTAAGGATGACCCTGGAGAAAACCAAAGGGGCTGCCATTGATCCTCTCATGACCAGCATCATTTCAGAATGTCTTCAGAGGTGACAACAACTGCAGAAGGCAATTTCAGTGAGAGTCTAGTTATTCTCCCATTGAATATGGTAACAGGTTTACTATGAATTTCAGCAGGAGCATAAAAAGGCCATTTCCTTGGCATGAGAACATTCCACATCACATTTCAGCCATGAAGCAACAGACATCTTTCAGTGACTACAGTATAGAAGGAGCAGCATTCATACTGAATTTCAAGGCCTCCTTGGTTTTCAGATTTCTATATGACCATCTTATTACCACTAGTATCACCACAAAACAAAAATAGCACAAGTGGAAACTTGGACCAATGCTGGAACATGCAGTTGTTAAAGGTCTCCCAATCCCTCTACCACCACCACTACCTCCTATGTAAGCTAAAAATCTATAAATAACTGTTCAGCTGGTATAAAATTAAAAAAAAAAGTAAGGAAGTAAGGAAGAAAACAACAGCTCAGAAATAAAGACAACTCAAAATGGTAAAAACACAATTGCCTATATTTAAAAAGAGAGAAGGGAAGAAAAGGGAGAAATAAAAACCTCTTTAAACAAAACTAATGATAGTCATCTTGTAAGAGAATAATTCTTGACAGCTAGCCCCATACCTACCCTGTAATTTTCTTCCTCTTTTTTGGATGAAGAAATGCATGAAATGTGTAATCAATGGGAATGCTTGTCATGCAACTTTCATAAATCTTGTAAGTAATTTATAGTTGTAATCACAGCATTTAAAGACAGAGACCATTCTGTAAAATTGCTATAGGATTTTCTCCTTCCACGTGAAGGAGAACATGTACTAGTTGTTCATGTACCAATGTTCCCAAAAGCCAATGAACAAACTAAAACTTCATTATTTCATAAGACCCCATTAGCTTAAATATGTGAATCCAACAATGGGGTTTATAATATAAAAATTTTTAGTCATCCTTTCCCACAAACACAAAGAAGAGGTAAGATTCCACCTTCTATCCCTTCCCAAATATGCTGCCTTTCTTCAAAATCTTCAGAAGGTTCAAAAACCAAATCACACAAATGCCTTTGTACAAGAAAGATGCAAGGAGTCACCTACCAGAGCGCCCACAGTCTGAGCACGATACAAGTTCCTCAGGCCGGCCACTTTTTTTGTTCATATTGGAGCCTCCGAGGCAGAAGTCACAGTAGTTATTGGGAATGATGACCCCGTCTGGTCCTTTCTGGGCTGTAGTTGGGTTAGAAATCGGATTTACTAGAAAAGCATTCACTTGGGCATTTGCCCCTTATCCTCGATATGGTGTTAGCTTAGTGAGTTTGCAGGCCACAGTCTTCCCAAAACACTGTCAATCAGAACAAAAAGTGAACTGCATAAACCACCTCCATTTTGAGTACACTCTGGGTTGTATCTATTTTGCCTGAAATGCCCTTTACTATTTCCTTTATAATCTCAGCCAGACTGCTCCCTCTCAAGGACATGCTTCCAGATATGCCTTCACAGTTCAGGGACTTGTAACATACAGGTGATCCCTAAGGTAGGATAAGACCTATGTTGTCAGTAAGCCAAACTTGGTTTTTCAGGTAGCAGTCATCATCATAATTCCACAAAATACAAATTCATAAAGGAAAAATACAGTCTCCAAAATTCAAAAGTCAACAGTGGGAAGATGGGGGGATAGGTACCCTTACTGTTTTTATTTCAAGTAGCTTCTTAGAGGACTACATCTCTAAGTAGCAGGGTGTCTTTAGCCAGAAGGTTGGTTCAAAAGTTCCTGAATTTTCACAGGCAAAGTCATCTGGGGATGTTTCACCCAATACTCAAGCCCCTCTGCAGCTGTCATGTTCCCTGGGATGAGCAGAAAGGGTCCAACACTACCCCAGTCTGCACAGGTGCCAAGTGAGCCTGGGGCAGACATCCCAACCAGCAGAGTTAAAAACTTTTTCAGCCAAGAAAAAAGGAGCAAGATGATGTTATTATTTTTCAGCTAGGAATACTTGGAAAGGAGCAGACACGCATGGATCTTAAGCAGAGGAGGATGCAGATCCCTTAGGAAGAAGAGAAGGGCAGAGGTCTTCTGCATTCCTCTTAGTTGAGTGGAACAGCAATGTCCTTTTTTTCTTGCTCACAACTGCCATTTCCCTCCTCTGCTCTCCAGAGAAGGAAAACATCTTCCTGTACACTCTAACTATGAACTGGGGAAGGGAGTAGAGGTAATGGTCAGTCTTTGTTTCTTGTCTTTGAACATCCAGCTATATGCAAGTAGGTATAACTGGCCTAAGCCTACTGCCTGAAGAACTTTACAAATGAGAAAATGAAGAACTTTAAATGGTACCATCTCTATTTAATTATCTTTTAAATGCATATTTTGTAACTTGCAGATTTTTAACAGATGTTTTAACAGCCTTTATTAACGGTCTTTTTGTCCACATTCAAATTTCCCCCAAAGAACAATGACATTCTAAAGGGCTTCTGGTAGCAGTCCAAGACATACACTTAAAATTAAAATTTCCTCCAAGCTCAATCTGCCTTTCTAGTTTGGGTGCATCTAGTTATTCATTTATTTCCAGATGTTGATCAGCTGAACTTTTAGAGATTGGAACTAAAAGATTCCAGGTAAAGTGAAATTAAGAAGAAAATTAAAACCCATAAGGCTGCAAATACTTCACTATCTTCCTCTGTGGTCATGAAGATCCTGACAGTATTTACTAAACAATGGACTTTGCTCTTAAATTATCCTGGTTGACAGATTCCCAATCTCTCAAAAAAAGAGAGAAGTTCCCAGTGTTAGATTAGCATTTGTCTGTTCCAGGAAGCATTTGATACATGCATGCAAGATAAGCAAAAAAAGAACAGGAACCAGGTGGAAGTCTAGCACACCGGCTCATTTTAAGAGCTGTAACAAAATGATCATAAAGTTGCTGCTGGTACATATTTTGTGTATAAAAAACAGAGCTCCCTAGCATTTATGTTTCCCACTACAGCCCCATTTTAAAAAAGTTAAGTAATTACCTCTTTATATTATTCTGCATCTACAGACAGGCCACATGCAATGCAAACTCAGCAACTTCAGAATTCAGTGCCTTTTTTTGTTGTTGTCCCTTATTAAATTATTTCACCTTTCATCCAAGTTTCTTAAAGCGCCTTACAGATATGAAGATCCTATTATTAACCTTCAGTGAGGTCAAAAGCCTCCTTTGCCATTGATTCTAACCAAAGTGTTCTGGACCCTAATTAAGTCTCATGGTGATGTTGTGTTGCATTTTAAAGCTGAAGGACTTGGAGGTAAAGTGGTAAACTGGCTTATCCTCAAACACACAAAAATCCTGTGGCAAGGCCACAAATAAAAACAAGCATTTAGGGTGCCAGCCAGCAGACTTAGGAAAGAGCTCCACTTCTACCACTGCTCATAATGGTGTAATTAATGCTCTGTATATACTGACTTAAATTTTTTCAACATGGATTATGACCATAAGATCCACTGACTGTCAAACTGGAAATGGGATAGGGGGACTCAAAAATACATACACTGATCAGTTCATCTGCACTGTGTGAGAGAGGTATTTGCTGAGTATGATAAAGCTGAAGGGATCCTCCCAGACCACTAGAAAGGCAATAAACAGTGGGTTGGATCATTCTTCTCTTATTCTTTCTTCTCTTTTCTTTCTTTTCCTTTTGTTTTCCTTTCTTTTCTTCCTTGTTTTCTTCCAATTTATTTAACTTTTAATGTGAGTGTCTGTGTGCTCACTTATTAACCTGGCTCAGTAGAGTGTGATAGAGATATCCGGCCTGAAAAATCATAGACAGATGAGAAGTTCCCAAAGTTACATTAATGATATCTTAAATGATGTATCTCTAGAGCCAAACAAGCCAGGCAGTGTTATTCTCTTCAGTGTTTTTAATGTTTTTATTTTTTGTTTTAACAGATGCAAAAGCTAGAACCAAACCTGACTTAAGCTTATTTTCTTGATCAGTACCATACAGTGATTTAAGTCACAGACTAAATCACAGAAGGTTTGAGAATAAAAACATTTTCAGATGGCAGAATTCTTACTTTCAAAGGAACTTTTTTTGCATATATCCTCGGAGTTTCTAGTTCTATTTTACTGTCATTAACAAATGATGAAGGAATTAGGAAACAAAGGAAAAATGGCAAGATTTAATGTGCAATCTTCACAAATAAGGTATCATGCAGGAAAAGCCCAACCCTAATCTCACCCCTAAATCAATAAAACTATGGATTCACAAGAAAAAACAATCCATTTCCTTTGGAGCAATGCTGCTGCTTTTCATCTGAGACATAGTAATTAACACGGTATTCACTTTTTGTATAAGGTGATCAGCTAATAGAAGGTGCAAGTTTAAGCCAAAGAGCTCAACTAGCAAGAAGTAACTCCTCAGCAGAGAGTTGACTCATTTAGATCAGGTGACTGCCTCCAAAGATTTGGTTAAAAAAAAACTCACCCATAATTAGAAACTGTTTAATAGAAAACACTTGAAAACCAGCCATGGCCTTGTTCTACCTTAATCAAAACTCTTCTGATTTTCTTTTACACTGCAAACTGCAAAAACAGATCAAAAGCCCTGAGAAGCTTTGAGTATTGTCTGAGCTAAGGTTTGCTCATAGGAGGTGTACTTAAATCAGTGCCTCTTGCCATTTCAACTTAAGGTTGTTTTCGGGTTTCATCAAAGGCCCTGTCTTCATCTACATCTCCCCTAAAATTGAGTATACAATTTTTTCAAATTACTTTAAAACTTAAAAAATTGATTAAGGAGAGATATGGAAAGATCTGTACAGTTCAAATAATAGCTTCCCTGAACATGAAAGGTAATTCATGTGAAGACAGGATACAAAGTGAAAATAAAGTCAGTATTTCCAAATAAATTTGGTATGCACTTATTCTGAAACATTTTTTCCTTTCAGCCTAATCAAGTTAATTTCAAGCTATAACAAGCTGAGCAGAATAAAGAACTATTTAAAATATGGTACCATCATTCACAATAGTCTTTTAGCAAAGTTTGTTAAATTACATAAATTATGTAGTATATCACACAGTAACTTTGTTCTGTAGACAAAATCTGAAAACTAAACAAGTTGACCGAGTTTAAATATATAAAATAACTTCTGTGCATTCTCGATTTTGAAGGCAGAGGCTCTAAACAGAATTCTAGCTTCCCTTCACCCCTCCCAAGAAACCAAAAAAAAACCCTGTAAGTTATCTTCCACATAATTTCAGTTTAATAATAAAAGCAACCTGCTTATAATGAAATAACATCAAGAAATAAGGAATTTTCTTTTCTACATCATCTCCTGGAGCCACATGACTCAATAAAAATCTCTTTTTAGAGTTTAGAAGTTTTCTACTTCTCAGGGCTGCAGAAAATACCTTGGATGGAAGGCAAATTCAGAAGAAGGAATTCTCGTCTCTGTTTCATAAACAGAAAACTCAGAGTACAGATATTTTAAATAGTTTTTCTTCCAAGTGTGACCCTTAAATATATACAGACAAACCCCTAAATAAATAGAACCTTGTATCTATCAATTTTGCTGATTTCTACATGAAATTATTTTGACGATTTGTATAATGATCTTCAAAAACTTGTGAGATGGAACCAGTGCTTAAAAGAAGTACTGGTTTTGTGTTCCAGGGCAAAAAATCACCGTCACGTATATTTCTTCAGCCTGTAGGTAATACAGCACAATACTGAACCATAATTTAAGATATGCATCTAGGTTTGGCAGCATTTTTTCTCTGTTTTTTGTCATATCCACATTGCTGGGAAGGCGATGGAGAATGCATGGAGTGCATGCCTTGCTGCTGGGGTGTGGAGCTGTGCATCATTTATTACAATTATTACAGTGAATTGGCTACAGTCAGAGATGCATGCATTCACAAAGGGATTTTTCCTAGCACATTTTGTCCAGCTCTTACCTGTTTCTTCTGGGTTTTATCCAAAACCAATAAAGCACACTGGAGGTTTTCAATTCAATTCAAAGGGCTTTGAATCAGGCCATTTACTTTGTTTGCAACAAGAATCTTCAGAATACAATAGAGACCACAGCACCCTGCATGTAGTTCTGAGTCAAGCCAGTGCACTTCATGATGGAAGAAAAGGGGTGGATTTGCTTTTTTTGTTGATGTTTTGGTTGTTGGGTTTTTTTTTTTTGTTTAATTTACAATACTCTTTGTCTGAGATGGGGCCAGTTTTTCTTTCCAGCTCCTCCCTTT